GGTTTTGCGATACCCTCTTTGGGTTTTATGATGCCCTCTTTGGTTTTACGATAACCTCTTTGGGTTTTGCGATACCCTGTTTGGGTTTTATGATAACCTCTTTGGGTTTTGCAATACCCTCTTTGAGTTTTGCAATACCCTCTTTGAGATTTGCAATACCCTCTTTGGGTTTTGTGATACCCTCTTTGGGTTTTGCAATACCCTCTTTGAGATTTGCGATACCCTCTTTGAGATTTGCAATACCCTCTTTGGGTTTTGTGATACCCTCTTTGGGTTTTGCAATACCCTCTTTGGGTTTTGTGATACCCTGTTTGGGTTTTATGATACCCTGTTTGGGTTTTGCAATACCCTCTTTGGGTTTTGTGATACCCTCTTTCAGTTTTGTGATACCCTCTTTGAGATTTGCCCTCTTTCAGTTTTGTAATGACGGATCAAAGTTTTCTTTCATTTTGGGTAAAATGATTAACGTACATATTATAAGATTTTTTTCTTCTTTCTGCCTCCTTTCATTTTAAGTGTGAGTTTTTTGTATAAATTGTTTTTGTTTGTTTTTAAATGAAACTAATAAATGAATTAAACAAATTAATACATTACCGAAGTTGCACTTTTTGGTCGATGCTAGCTTTAAAGCAGCTTATTTTAAAGACATTAATACATATTTGGAGCTCATGTGGGCCACATTATATGATGTACGAAGCCACCATTTGCCCGCGGGCCTTTAGTTAGACATGTGTGTGTCTGTTTGTATTTTCCTATAGAAACGCCTGAACCACTCCAGGTTCTCAGCCTGGTTCTGCTGGAGGCATTTCTTCCCACTGTGTCCTGCTGCTCAGGATGAAGGATTAAATCAACCGTCATTACAGAGTTACWGCATGTTTTCAATTTATATTTTGGACTTTTTTTTCCTTTGAAGCTGCTCTGATGTCACTTTTGTTGTGATTTGGCTCAAATAAGATGAACTGCTGCCAACAGCGACCAGAACGCGCCTTTACGTTATTTCTCCCGTTGACCGGAACAGCTGAGTGCGCGCACCCCGTCCTCCAGAGTGTTTGGACGCAGCGGGTCCTTCATGTCGGGGCTCTCCTCTTACATTATTCATACGGAGGAGGAGGAGGTGTGACTTGTTGCCTCTCTCTTTCCCCCCCGCCTTTATAAAACCAGAAGTTCGAGCACAAGAAAACTACAGATGGAGAAGGCTGGCCGCCTCGCTGCGTCACAGAGAGTCCCCCTGAGCCCGCGCGACGACTCCCACACCGTCCCTGTCTGAGCACCGCGCCATGCCCGCTCTCTGCGCGCTCTGCTTCGCCGTGGCGCTGGCCGCGGTCGCCCGGCTCGCCGGCTCCGTGGGGCCCGTGGTCCTGTGCGAGCCGTGCGACGCCGGCGCGCTGCTCCAGTGCAAGCCGCTGCCGAAGGACTGCGCGGAGGCGTTGAGGGAGCCCGGCTGCGGCTGCTGCACGACGTGCGCCCTGGCCGAGGGGCAGGCGTGCGGCGTGTACACGGCGCGCTGCGGCTCCAACCTGACCTGCAGGCACCAGCCCGGGGAGAGCCGACCCCTGCAGGCTCTGCTGGAGGGACGAGGGGTGTGCACCAGCGCTGCGTCCAGGAGGCTCCACGGCCCTCTCATCACCGCGCAGAAAGCAGGTAGAAAAGTGATTTCTTTATTACTGCGATTTCTAGTTTTTGTTTTTATTTGCATTGAAGCGCCTCTCTGACCAGGACCCTCCCTCTCACCCAAACTGAGTGCGTAATTCTGGGTCTAAACTGACGTTTTTTATATAGCGGCTCAAAGAAACGTTCAAGTTCAAGGTTTTTATTTGATGAGCTGAAATCAGGACTGGAGGAGTTGGGAGGATTGGAGCTCTCCATTTGCGCGCATGTTTGGAGCGCCGTGCGTAAAATGTTTGGAATGAAAGAAAACACTCGTTCTTCTTTTTTAAAAATAAATAAATAAATAAAACAGCTCATTCGAATAAATATTTTTAAAAGGTGCCACGGCCATGCTGTAAGTCTTCAGTCCCTGTCCTCTGCTATGTCTTCATTTCCCTCCACGAATTCTTGAGCACAGCTATGAAAATATGCGCTGCAGCCCCCCCAGTCCAGGATGTGGGCCAACACATCTCAGGTGTCTGGCAACTAGATGGAGATTGGGGGGGCTCATGTCATGTCTCTGGGTGCCCTATAAACAAGCACACACACACACACACACGCACACACAAACACACACACACAGCCTGTAATATCAGCAAGTCAAATCTGCACAACCGAGCTGCGTCTTTATTTAGTGTGATCCACGCTGGTCAAACGGCACACATGTCACCTCCATGTGAACACACACAGTTGTGTGTTTAGGGACCTCCAGGTGCCTCTTGTGTGTGTTGACACAAAGACACACTTGTGGACACTCAAGTGTGTGTTTGCAGCTTGGAGATCCCGTGAAAATCAAGCATCAGATGGAGATGGAAGGATTTTTATTTCATCATCCTCTTTATAAAAAACAAAGAGGATGAGCCAAAGCGCCCCTGCTGGTCAGTTTGAGTCACTGCAGCTCCGTGGTTTCCAACCACACACACACACACACACACACACACACAAACACACACACACATCCAATTCCAGAGCCTCTCCTCCCAGACATTAACAAGCCGTCTTAACCACAGTTAGTGCTGTTTACGCTCATAAACAAATTGCGTAACGTGTTTATGAAACGCTCTGTTAAAGACTGCAGCAACGTTTAAGACAACAAATAAAAGGTGCTGATTGTGTTCTGGTTGTTGTTTTTTTTTTTAAAAAAAAAGCAGGAGGAGGTGGTTGTTTCGGGGTTAAAGAGCAACCGTGCGGCTGATTGATCAGCTACACCCTCTTCATTTAAAGGGCGTGTGTCCCCCCCGCTGACCCACCTTTACCTGCCCTGACCCACGTGCTCCAGTATATAACACTCACCCCTGTCCGTCTTCCTGAAAAGTGCTTGTTTACACACAGTTTTGGGTCTGTGGAAATCTGAGGATGTGTAATTGTTGTGTTTCTGTTTATGACTTCTCCTTCGTCTCCGGATCCAAAAGAAGAAGYAAAAAAACAGCCCACATGGGGCGATGACCTAAAGTTTACTTTTTGTCCGTTTCAGATGAGGAATTCTCTGCTGGATTGAGGGAAAATCCAGCATTGTTCTGTGTTGGGCAAGAATAATCTAATCCAGATTCAACTACAACCCTAAAAGAGGACTTATCATGTCTTCTTTATGACACGTTTTGTTTGTGGAGTCTGTGGGAGGCAGAAAAGTTGAGTCTCTACTTGTGCTGCAAAGATATTAGGTCTTATTTTTCAATCCGTTCAGTTTTTTATTCCCTTTTATTGAACAATAACATCTTTGCTGCATAAACCTGGATGGTACTAGGTTTTTTTTAAAGTTGATGCTTCATTTTAGGATTTACCCCCCTTTATTTCAACCGTGTTACGAACAAAAAGAAAAAAAATTGTGTAGGTCCGCTGGACGGGTTCTTCTCTAATGAAACGTTTCGTCTCTCCTCCAAGAGACTTCTTCAGTCTGAGAGTTTCAGGCAAAATTCAGGCTTTTAAGCCCTGCCTCCATGTGACTGATACTCACATCGCATGGCTATCGTTGACACCTAATTAACACCTATTGTTAACAGGGGGTAGAGTGATACTGGCAATAGCAGCACTGTAGGAGGGGGACAACTGAAAACGGAGGCCTCCACCTCTGTTTAATGATGGACGGTCTTTCTTCACAAAAATGGCTTCTTTTACTCCTCTCTCAAACCAACGTTCCTCTCTATCAAGAATGAGAACATCCTCATCTCTGAAAGAGTGACCGCTGGCCTGTAAATGAGTGAAAACTGCAGAGTTCTGGCCATTAGATGTAGCTCGTCTGTGTTGGGACATTCTTTTGAACAGTGGCTGCTTTGTTTCCCCGATGTATAACTGGTCGCAGTCCTCCTGGCACTTAACAGCATATACAACATTGCTCTGTTTGTGCCGGGGCACCGGATCTTTGGGGTGAACCAGCCTTTGCCGTAATGTGTTTTGGGGTTTGAAAGCCACTGGGACATCATGTTTAGAAAATAAACGTCTCAGTTTCTGTTGTTACGAACATGAATACTCAGATTTACGACACTTTTTATACAAAACTGCATGATGCTGAATTATTTTACTTAAAAAGACATTTAGTTAATTGTTAAAAACTGTTTCACCTGGTTAGCTTTATTAGCAACTTTAGTTTGCTTTACCTGATGCAAATAGCGTTTAGCGCGAGCTAGCTTAAATAGATCGGCGTTTTAATCTTTAAATAAAGTTGATCAGTCTTTCAAACTCAACTTTTTTAAAGTTCTAATTCAACACATTTGTCATTTTGTGGTAGAAAACTTAACCCAGCAAAACTGTTTCAAGTGGTTAGCTTTGTAAACTTTAGTTTGRATTAGCTGGTGCTAGCTAGCTGATGCTAATAGCGGTTGATGCTGCGTTCSAGTTGTCCTCGGAGGTCGTAGCTTCGAGCCTCCGAGTTCTATTTTTCAACTGAAACGCCCCCTGAAGTCGTAGTTTCGAGTCGGGAGGTCGGTGCATCCTAACCATACCCGAGCAGCCCGAGCATGCGTTACGTCATCATTTCAACATGGCTGCTGCGCGCATGAAACTGTCAGCGGTCGCGCTATCATTAGCATATTTCTCTACATGTRGAGCTGTAATCAAACGTACACAAGCACCATCCCCATTATTTAACAGACAGAAAGTAAGAAGTGAGGAGGCAGAATAAAAACGAGTGTAATTTGTTTGTTTATTTTCCCTTTTTATATTTGTTTAATGTATGTAGCGTACTAGCATGCTTGGCCGAGCTAACCGCAAACGTTGCTACTCTTGCATGTAAACAAACGCGGCTTCTGTTGTTTATTTTACATTACGTCAGACGTACGTGTAGTGCTTTATAGTGATAGTTAAAATATATGTTTTAACACTGTTTGTACACTCAAAATACCTCGTAGAGCACTATTATTGTACGTTTTATTGTTGCAGAGAAAAATAATAGAAACGCTTTTTCCGATGTTTGAAACTGGAACTCTATCAGCTCGGAACTGACGTCAGTCCGGCTTCAGAATTTCAAGTTCCGATACAACTGGAACGCAGCATAATGCAAGCTAGCTAGCACCAACCTGTGATTTAATCATGAAATTAGATGGGTCAGTCTTTTAAACTTAGCTTTTTAGTGGCTCTTAGTCACCAGTTTTTTAAAACCTTTTTTTCTGGTTTGAAAACTTAATCCAGAAAACCGTTAGATCTAGTTAGCTTTGTTGACAATTTTATTTTTGCTTTAGTTGATGCTAAAAACCATGCTGGACAAAGTAATTGGTTTCATTTCTTGCTTCAAAGAACTGATCTTACTGGTCAAATATTACTCCAATAAAAGTAAAAGTAGCTCTATCAAATTATTGCTTCCATTAAAGTACTCTATAATAAAATTTATAAATTGTATAAACTATAATAATGGTCAAAGGGGGTGGAGGGGGCAGAGCGTGAAGCGCCTCATTTGCATTTAAAGAGACAGCACCAAAACGAGTTCCTCACCTCAGAACAGGGGGGGAAAGAGGGGCTTGTGGAGTTACAACAACCAGGAATTCAGACTAAAGCATTGCACTTCCATTTTATATAGACCCAGAATTAATGATTTAAATATGAAAAAAAAAGGATTTAAAAGCATGATACGTCTACTTCATAAGTGACAGCATATAATAATAATAACTCACTTGTTCGTACAGAAAGTGCCGGAAGTCAAGTGGAAGACTGCGACAACGCCACCCAGGCGACGCCGACCGCGCCCGCCGCGGTGACGGTGAAGAGCGTGCACGGCCAGGGGTCGACCAACACCCGGCCGCCGGTGAACAACAAGCTGCTCCAGAAGGCTCAGAACAGGAAGACGCAGAGCTACAAGGTGGAGCCCGTGTCCAGAGGCGCCAACGTGGACACGCACAACTTCTCCCTGGAGAACAAGAGGGAGACCGAGTATGTAAGTCACGCAACAAAAACGGATAAAGATTTGCACACTTTCCAAAATAAGCTCTTCTTGGCTGAAACAGTTTGTCATTTTGCTGTCTGTGTTCGGCTGGATCGATATTCGGAACAGTTTATCCAGGCTGACTGATCCGATCGAAGAGCTAAACGTTCTTGATCGTCAGTCCTTTGCGGGTCAGGACGGAGTCTTTGTCTCAGTTGGAGTCGTTGGCGGATCGGGGCCTCGTCTTCGGTAACGAGAGTTCTGGTTTTGGGAAATCGAAAGGCAATGCTCTGGATTTACTGCTCCAGTTTTGGATCAAGAGATTACGAGATACAACCGGACAAAACAATCTTCCATCATTGGGTGGCCGGGTTCAGAATAAGAACTAAATTTAGGAGCTTTGTCAACCGGGGGGGAGCACCAGGGTCATCCCACTCAGAGACCTTGGGGTAGACCCAGAACTCGTCCAAGACATTGTATCTCCTCTCTGGAACACCTTGGGATAACTCCTATGAAGACTTGGGGGGAGTCTGGGTTCTCCTCCTGAACCTGTTGCTTTGATGACCGCAGATAAGATGTTGGAAACTGGGCGTCATTTCCTCCACCTAACAATGTATTTTCTAACAGTTTTTTAACCGATTCTGTTTGTCAAGTTGTCTTTTTAGCAGAGGTCTGCAGTGTGGTACAGATGTGGTCTTGTTTTTTTTTTATTTAATGTTATTTTTACCAGGCAAGTCCCATTGAGATCTCAGATCTCTTTTTCAAGGGCGGCCTGGTCCTGAAGGTAACCTATTGTACATGTTTTGGGGGTGGGGACCGGAGTACCAGGAGAAAACCCACACAAGCACGAGTAGAACATGCAAACTCCACACAGAAAGACCCCAGGTCCTTGTTCATATCCTCAGTTGTGATCTTTTATTTATTTTTAATCTCGAAACACTTAATTTCTTCCAAATGACCTGCCTCGTCTTGAGCATCTGTTTACCTTGACATCACAGATTTACTTTCGAAGCCCAAATGCCAAATTCCAGAGGGAGACATAAAAACAGTGTGCTGAACTTTGACACGTTCAGCTGTATTTGTGTCTGCTGTCAACATCAGCTGATGATTTATCGTCGCCAGTTAACCCTAAAATGCTCGGTTTTAAGCTGTCATGGGAAGGCAAAGAAGAGAAAACCCACACATGCATGGAGCGAACATGCCTACGACACACAGAAAAGCACCAGCTGCAAATCAAACGTGTGCCTTTCATAATGTGAGGCTAATCAACTGCTCCACTGTGCAGCCAACACATTTTAACCACAGATAAAATTCAGATCTATTCGCTAAAAACCCGATCAGCTAGCAAGCTAGCGGCTCTAGCTAAATAATTTTTTTTTTACATTGAATATTTTTTGGGCATATTTTTAATTACTGTAATAAAGCTGCTATTTTTACTAAAGGAGTAATCAAAAACTAAACATAAACTGAATATAAAGAGAAGAATAAGTTGCTGAGAGGCTAAATCATACTAGACAATTAGCTGTTTGCTATCTCTTTTGAGCTAACAGCAGTTTTCTGCCTTGTGTATGCTAAACAACAGTGGTGGGTAAAGCAAACCAAAAATTTAACTTTGCTAAATCAAGCTAACTAAAAATATAGCATACCTAATGTTAAACATCTTTAAAAAATCGTGGAAGCCAAATCTTAATAGCAAAACAATAAAAAAGTAGTGGAAGCTAACACTAAAATATTTTATTTAAAAATATAAAATCAAAAGCCATTTTAAAAAGGCATTATAAATATGCTATGACCAGTGGTGGGCACAGTTGCTCTAAAGCACTAAAAGGGGAAATAATTTCTTGATTAGTGCTTTAGGGCTTTTGCTATTTTTTAAGTTCATTAGTGGATTAGCATTTGCAAAATTAATGGGCTAAATTTAGAAGCACTAACTGAGGTCTTTAAATGTTACTGATCAACATTATTGTTTACAGTTGAGGATGAAAACTGTCATACATTTTGTTCATTATGTGTGTCACTTATCTAAAAGGTCACCTGTGTAAAACTCAAGGCCCACGGGCCAAATGTGGCCTGCGGGTGACTCCCATTTGGCCTGCCAAGATCACTAAGTGACAACCATCTGCACACTGTAAATCTTGTCTCATATTGACTTTGAAGAATTGTCCATGTGTCAACTGGATTATATTAGTGCTTTAGAATTAGCTTTTGCTAAATTTTTCAGTGCGTTAGTGCTTTAGAATTAGGGGACCTAAATATTTGAGTTAGTGCTTTAAGGTTAGTGCAACTAATATTTAGATGAATGCTGCCCACCACTGGCTATGACTATATCTAAGCAGTCTATGCTTATTTGATAGCAAAACCTAATTTAGTGGGAGCTAATTGAGCTGCTAATGATTTTCAAAGTTAGTGAAAAGGATAATCCACTAAACGATACATTAGTTAGGCTATTAGCTGATTAGTGGAACACTTCCCACTAAACATAAACTGAAGATAAAGAGAAGAACCAGTTGTTTAGAGGGTAAATGCTACTAGACGGTTAGCCGTTAGCTATGTCTTAGCGGTTAGCTGCCTTATGTATGCTACACGTTTTGTTAAAGTTCACGTTGTTCCCCACCCAAATTTTTTGATATGCTGAAGAAAAAATGGAGGCAAGCAGTTGTGCATTGTGTGAAAAACAATATTTAATTTCTACAGCTGTGATTGTTTTTGTTTACGAGTCCGGATAAATGTTTTGTCGTCGATTCCGTCTGAAACACACATAGATGAAATGTGTTATTTGGTCCTTGTTTTTATTTGAAGGTGGCTGAAAATACGATCCGCATCAGATTTGTTTTGTCTCGTCGCACAAACCGTGCCCGCTCAAATTGCACTGTTTTCCTTTTTTCTCCCCCCTCCCCAAACACAAAAACATGAAATTTAGTCTGATGGAGGAGCCGAGGATAATTCTCTAAAGTGCTATAGAGTCTATACAAAGATGGCGGTAAAGTGTCCCCAGGCACTTCAGGTGTAGGATTCCATACAAGCCGGTCTTTGCAGAAAAGCCATTTTCACGGTGTGTATATTTATGTAACATTAAGTCGTTACCATGACAGCACGAGCAGAATGGGATCCTAATTATTTACGTTAACAAAAGAGACCTTAAAGCTTGGCTGTGTGTCGGCTCTTTGAGCAGCTGGAGAAAATGTCAGTTTGTAGGTGGTGTGCATGTGGAGCTAAAAAAAAAAACACACGAGGTACAAACATTACAAAGCACTGCAATACTACGCAATTTGTGGCGAGAAAAACCCTCACAGGGAAGCTTTATGTTTTGTGCAGTTGTTTGGATGGAATTAGTTTTGTTTACAAACGTTTGGGAACAGAAGGTAACATTTTTTTTACAAAGCTGATTCCTCTTTCTGGGATTTAACCTCTTCAATCTGGACCCACCAGAAGAGGTTTATTTTAGCCTCATTCAGACCATAAATGATCAGATTTTACTAAGATTTTTTTTACACAAAACTACACAATGCTGCATTATTTTACTTATATTTAGTCTATTATTAATGGAAAACTTAACCCACCAAAACTGTTTAATGTGGTTAGCTTTGCAACAACTTTAGTTCGCTTTAACTGGTACTAGCTAGCTGATGCTAACAATGCTTAACGCAAGTTAGCGTTGTCCTGTCCAGCTACATGCCGTCAACTTGTCAACTAGTCTTTCAAATTCAATATTTTAGTAGCTTTAATTTAATATATATATTATTTGAACCGGTTGTGTAAAAAAGTTCACCCAACCTTTAACCTGGTTTGCTTTAACAACTTTAGTTTACATTAACTGGTAATAGTTGATGCTAATAGTCGTTAAAGCAAGTGAGCTTGTACCAACGTGTTTTAAGCTCAGCTTAGTCGCTCTAATTCAACTATTTTATTATTTTATCAAACCTTTGGGTAGAAAATGTAGTCGAGTAAAACTCTAACTTTAGGTTAGGGTTAGGTTTGCATTATTTGGTGATATATGGCTTACGCTACTAGCAGTTAGCACCAGTTAGCTAGCACCGACCTGTGTTTTTACCATCAAATATGGTTGGTTAGTTTTTCAACATTTTAGTAGCTTTAATTCAATAAATTAGTCATTTTAACTGTATTTATTGTGAAAAAAAGTTCACCCAACCTTTAACCTGGTTAGCTTTAACAACTTTAGTTTGCATTAGCTGGTGCTAATACTAGTTAGCCCCACGTATCTAGCACCAACCGGTCTGTTTGACCCAGAAATGACCTACAAAGTGTGCTTAAAATGTTCACTAATAACAAATTTAGAGATAGTTTACGGTTGTTTTCGTGAAACATATACGTTTATGGTTGAAATGTTTTTGTTACTCATCCTGTTTCTTACTAAAAGGTGGTATATTTTTTTTGTCATGTCTGTTGCTAGGGGCCGTGTCGGCGGGAGATGGACAGCGTCATGAACAGTTTAAAGATCAACAACTTTCTCAACCCGAGAGGCTTCCGCATACCCAACTGTGACAGAAAGGGCTTCTACAAGAAAAAACAGGTGAATGGCTCTCCCTGCTGTTTCATCTCTCTGTTGTCTTTGACACACACACACACACACACACACACACACACACACACACACACA